CACAATGAAATATTTCTCGAAACATTTCAAATATACGTTGTTCAATACTTGACCATGTTTCACCATGTTGTTCATTAAACATAGTTATAAATGTTTCACAATCTATTTGTCTTATATGTGTATTTACTCGATAATCCATTACAGTAAAATGTGTTTCATGATCATCGAGTTCTTTCATTGAAAATGATTTATTTGCAAAACGAAGCCAAAAAATTTTATGAACATATAATTTTAATGGTCGAATACTACGTAAAAGTAGTATATAACGAATATCAAATTTTACTCCATTATCTTGAATTTCAGGTATTTTAAGTAAAACTGGATTCGATACATATTTGCAAACAATTTTTGAGCTTGATTCTGGTAAACGAATAATCATATCAAATAAATTTGTGATTGATATATCAAGTGAACGTGTTAAAGCTATTGGTTTAACTATCCAAGTATTATCAATTTGGTGATCTTCACAATACTAAATAAGTTTAAAAAAAAGCTGTTAGCGCTAGGTGTAGATGTGTTGTCGCGTGTGTTCATGCAATATCTCCTATATCGCCCGTAATGGCACTTAATCAATTTTCCGAAGATTCTCATAGATGACATCAAACGTTATTGATATATCTTCTGTGGTCATATATTAATACCTGTGATTCGAAGAAAAAGGGGGGTGTTGCTAAGATACCTGTCACGATCCGTAATGATCTGTGGTGAGTTGATCCAAATTTTTTATCCCTCTACTTGAACACTTTTTTAGGTCGCGTTGCACAAAAACTATCAATAAAGATTTACTTGAAAATAAGCACCAAATTGAGGTAATTCATGAGTAAGATTGAATGTTATCGGTAACCATGGTGGACTTCCATGTGATTTAATGTATGGATCATTTTCAGTTATTGTTGATGATGAACTAGAAAAATTTTACATAGTAATAGAATTTCTTGATCAAAAAAAAGAAGTATCCCCAAGAGAAAATTGGTTAGAATTAGTTCACACACATCTTGAGAAAACTTTTTCATCTATTACTTCACCTAGAATTTCATTTTGTTGAAAGCTTATTTTTTTTTGCCTAAATTATTAAATAATTATGTTATTTTAATTAGAAAAAAAAAATATTTTTTTGTTGTATTTTATTGAACAATTGATATCTGATTAAATTTATTCGGAATAAAAGAAAACTAAAGCATACCCATATAATGATTTCCATCGTCTAGCTGTTAATGCTAATAATTCTTTATTTGTCAAGACATTTTCAAATGGAAATTGATTAATTAATAAATTCTGTAATGTTTCATGACGAAAATCTAGAATTTGTTTTTTTGTAAATATAATATCAGCTCGATCAAGATTATCAATTAATTGATAATGTTGATCAGTTAAATATTGTTTAATAAGATTATGATCTGTATAAACTTTCCAAATATAATCTTTATCAAATTTATTTAATTCAATTTTCATTGGTATTTTATCATATAAATCATTTTTATAACATTCTTCAAATATTTCTTTATTATTTTGAAGATTTTTTGAAAATAATTCAGGACAATTTTCAATTGTTAAATTACGAAGAATTATTTTACGATTATGAACACGATGCCATGGTAATAATTTTATATTTCGAACAACTATACTACTATTATCATCAACAAAATTTCGAAAAATTTCAGTATATGGTTGTTCAATACGAACAATTGGATAAAGTAATGTAAACATTGTTTGAGTTGGTACAAAGAAAAAAGATGTACAACAAACATTTGCATTGGTATCTGAATGACGTATTGATGAACCAAGCTCATCCATTACATACCTAAACGAATGAAAAAAACGAAAATTCATTTTTCTTTTGTTGAAATTCAATTTCTTGTTTTATTGAATGTTAAGTAATTATGTTGTGAACTTATAGACGAAATAATAGATTTTACTATTCTTAAATAGGTCTATATATTGAGATTCTCAATTTTCATTAGAGTTCATTGCAAATTCATATGTGATGATTAATAATACAATAACAAATAGTAATGTTTTATGATAATTCTAAGAAGAAAGAAGAATGTCACAGAAGATACGTACGATTTTGACACAAAGGACTTCACGTCGTGGAAAAAAAAGAATATTTATAGATTGTTTTTCTTTTCGAATTATTTTGTTTTTTACTTACCAATAAGGTGCTTGTACTATTTCTGCATCTGGATGTGGATTGATTTGTGCAGATGCTAATGCATATGTTTGATTAAATTTCCACATACGTTGTAATATTAATTCAATACCATCATCTTTTGTTTCCGAATTAACGTTCATTAATGATGCCATACGTTCATATAAATTTGGAATCGATTTTAAATTATTTCTTGCATCATTTATTCTATACGTCCAAGCATGATCAATAAGAAATATTGCATTTTCATCATTGTCTGGATCAAGTACAACATTTTCAAGTGTTGAAACATAAAAACGACGTTCAGGATTAAATGTTTTTTCTAATTCTTCATCATCATCATCAACTGGACATATTTGAAAATATGAACCACTATCAAATATTTCATTTTTCATTTTTTCATATAAACGTCGATAAAAATGTTTTGGAATATTATTCAAAACAAGTTGTAATTGATGTGTTTGTAAAAACTGATTATATTCATCGTCATTATCGGCCATGATCTAGAAAGAATCTATTCTCACAAAAGAAAAATGTAAAGCCACCCAAGAACAATTTTTGTTCATGCGCATCAAATAATTTCATTTAAAAAAAGAAGCAGCGTACATTCTGACTGACACACAATCTAAATATAATTCATTGAAAAATGATTAATTACAATAGCGAAGAACACCAAAAAAGAAAAAAGATGAATCAAAAAAGTAAATCAGTAGTTGTTGACATTGAACTCCATTGAATATTATTTGTCATATCAAACATTGATTTTTCTTGTTTTAACGTGGAATGATTTGAAAAATTAGTCGATGAAGAAAAATATTTTTCACGAGAAAATCTATCTGACGAATCGGAATTTGTTAAAGAATTATTTTGTGTACCTAATTCATATTGATCAATATATGCTGGACGAAATGTATGTAATGTACCTAAATAATAAAAAAAAAGAATTTGATCTTTACATAGAGTTAATGATGCATTTTAACCATTTGATTTCATTTCTCTATGTCGATAGTCTTTTGCTTTTTTTTGTCGTTGTTTTACTGTGTTTTTTCCTGTCTTTATTCACATCTGTTATTTTTCTTGCTTTATCTTTTTTCTTTTTTGTAAAACGTGATGTTGTTAACGAGGAATGACAAAATCAAACTTTCTATACAATGTACTCATACTATCGTAATAGGAGAAACTCATGGGAAGATAGTAGAAAGTTGTATGATGGAGAAATAAATGAAGGAAAATCAGAAAAGAAAAAGAAAACATCACTTGAGACCAATAGAAAGGCGTTTGCATATTATTATATACATATATGGCATAGTAGTTAGAGCGTAGGAAGAAATCTTTTGAGATTTATACCTTTCGATTGTAATGGTTCTTCATTGAGATTGTTCGAATTAAATCTTGCATTAATACTTGCCAATCGTTCAAGTTCATCATCATCAACATCATCAATTTGATCATTTATATTTTCATCTATAGGAAATTTTTTCATACAATTTTTATCGTTCTCAATTGACAGATCATTCTCATCATCATCATCGTCATTATCATCATCATCTGAATCAGTATTACCAAATTCAGCCATTACTACAGTAAATGATGGATATTCAAATGTGTCAACATTATCAATAAATTGTACTCGAACATCCTAAATTGTATAAATATAGAAAAATAAATTCTAATAGAAATTCTCTTAATACCTTTTTCGTTCCTGAAAAAATAGATGATTTACTTAATTTGACGTCCCCACCAATAACATCTGGTGCATGAAGTAAATCAACAGATGTTGATATAGATGACTGTTCATCTTTAGTAATTAATAATGGTGGTGGAATTATTGAAGCTGGTAGAGTTGATTGAACATTGCTATTTATTTTTAATCCACCAAAAAATGTTACTGATTTAGTTGAATTAGCAACTGAATGAACAATTGAATCTACTGAAATATCTTTTTTTTCTAAATAATGATGATGAACAATTGGTTTTGTTAAAAAATTAGGCGGTGATGGAACAGAATTATTATGATTTGAAGTTTTTTTTATATTTGTCGAAACATGAGAATTTACATTCGATCGTTCAATTGTATTTGTACGATTAAATAAAGCTAAACGACTTTTGAAATCAAGTGGTTGATAATCACTAGTATCTGACGATGAAGTTGTTGGAAGTAAAAGATTTGGACGATTATCATTATTATTATTATTATTATTATTATTAACTGTAGTTTCATCAGTAATAATATTCAATGGAAAAGTTTTTTTCTTATTTTCATTATGTATATTTAACACAGATTGTTCATTAATAATTTTATTTGTTTCAATATGCATTGATGTTGGTGGTGTATGTGATATAACAACATCAGGATATAATGTTGTTACAGGTAATGATAATGGTGTTGATGGTAGATTTGACGAATATATTGTTGTTGCTCGTCGTTGTCGTAAAGCCATATCATTTGGTGATATACTACGTGAACGACTTGGACTTAAAATTTCTCGATGTTGATTATTTATACGTGAATTATTAGGTAATAATGTATTTGGTAATTTATCACTATCATATCGACTTAAACGAATTTGTCGTTCGAACATATTTTTAACAGTTGTAACTGTACCTATTCAGACAAAAAAAACAAAGAAATAATAATAGAGCTATATGAACTAATTATAAATTTTCATTTGATATATCGTCATCAAATGAAAACATTGTATTAAATGATATTATATTTAAATTAAATATATATACATAGAGAATATGAAGGTACTTAAATGGCTAAAAATGCAAGCAGAATATTAATTAAAACGAAATGAACTGATTAATGGATTTTCTGGCAAAAAAGACTACCTTGAAATAGATCACGTTGATTATAATCGATCATATCGATTCAGGGTACTTTAGAAGTCTTCAGGCACGACAAAATTAGTTTATATGCAGACAGAGAATAATTTCTAACTGAATGTTTTTTTTATATGAGCGTTGGGTATTCGTGTCATTCTTTCAAATGATATATTATTCGATAATATCATTTATTATGATAATAAAATTATTAATATGAGAATGCGAGAGGATATAGAATAGAAGCGCATCAGTATCACAAATAAAACGATCTTTGAAGGATTCAGATGCTTTTTTGCTCAAATTATTGACAATCACATTGGTATCATAGATGGATGATTTATTCATAGAACGGCCACTCATATAAATTTTCCGGTACTAAAGTATTTTCAAATGAAAATTATATAGCTATATTATCATTTTTCTTCATTTCTACTCATTATTTTCTTAATCTATCGAGAAAGAACTAGAAAATGAAATACCATTTGATTTTTTTAGTGGTGGCCTTTGTTAAATAAGACAATTTTTTTTTGCATTCTTCGTCTGTCTTTAACAGATATAGAATGAAAAAACTGGACATTGACTCGAAACTAATAACATATTCACAATTAATATGAAAAACTGAGTCGACTTTTATATATGTTTCGGGAATTTTTCTTTAAACTTTTCTTTCTTTCGAAAAATTCAGCTAGGATCTTCCTCTCAAGACCCACAGTCAAAAATTGAACTTAATCAAGACACTATTTTTTTATTGGTTAGTTCTTTGTTCTTTTGTGTCGCAGTGATTTTTTACAGGCTCGGAGCTTGTTTTCCACTGTCGAAAAACTTTATAACACACATAAGTTTTTTAATGTTGATTTCAAATATGTTATTAGTTGTGACTCAAAACCTACTTTTTCCAATCAATATCTGTTAAAGACAAGCGAAGAATGCAAAAAAGAATTGTCTTATTTAACAAAGGCTACCACTAAAAAAATCGAAAAGTGTTTGGTTTTTTTAGCCCTTCCTAGGAACTTTCAGAATCAATCACAAGCCCATGGTAGTTTTTTTTCTTTCTCGAGATATTAAGACAGCAATGAGCAGAAATGATAATTTAACCATATGATTTTCATGTTCGTTGGGAACAATATTTACGTTATTACTCAACAACAGTTCAATCGATCAAGCTAAAGTTTTTACTATAGATAGACTATGGAATGAATAGTTGATTGATATAGTTTTCATTTGAAAATATGTTAACATAGTAAACTTTACACGAGTGATCGTTTCATGAATTATAGTACACACATGAATATTAATAATTTGAGGACGAAAGGTCTGCATACACATATGAAATCATTTTATTTTGTTATCAAACGATTCTCCGTGAAATTCTATATTAGATAAATTATGAAAGGAGGAAAATTGAGGATGGCACAAAAACAACTCTTATGGGCTCCTATCCGTTATCCTTGCGTTCTTACATTAACATTTTGATGATCACAAAAGAAGATATTATCAAATAATATGTCATTTGAAAGAATGACATGAGTACTCGACGCTCATGTAAAAAAACATTCGATTAGGAATTATTTTCCATCTACATATAAACTAATTTTGTCGTGCCTGAAGACTTATAAAACACTATATAAAGGAACGCTCATGCTTTCTTAATTTAAGGCCTTATAAATGATCTCTAGCTGACAAGAGAACTTCTTCAAATGTCAACTTCCTCTTTTTGACTGAGACGATGCTCATTTGATGAGTCATAGAAAAGTCTAGAAAGGTTTGGTTTTTCGAGCCACCGTTCTTTCCTCTATCTAATGATGCACGTATATCAAGTTTTATTGCGTATCATCAAAACGTCAATAGAGGGCGCTACTTTTACTGTGACTACATTCGAATAGTACGAAGCTGACGCCTTCCCATTGACATCTGAGCAGTTCGCAATAGGACTTGATAATGAATGCATCATTAGACAGAGGGACACTTTTTGTATTAATCTATCTTTGCATAAACAAAGTTCTTAATAAGATTAATTAATTGAGCAAGTTGTAGCTTTCCTAGCATTTCTTATCTTTGATGTCGAAAGCCGATTTTCCACGTAATCTGAAGCGGACAAAAAATCCACTAAGATTTAGATATCTCAAGAATGAAGAACAGAAAAACTAAACCATTGTAGACTTTTCTATTACTCATTAAATGAACATCATCTCGGTCAAAAAGCAATCTGACTCCTGGAAAGATTCTCACATGAGTCTCGAAAAACAAAACAAATTACTCGTGATATTCGGTATAGATTAAAATAAATTTACTAACTAAAAACAAATATTAACATTATATGATTTCGAATATCTCATATAGACTTTTTACATACCAGGTTTTGGTACTTCATCCATATGTAATTCTGTATATGAATGTCGATATGTTGAAATATTTTCATCAGTTGATTTTGTTCTTTCAACAATAATAACATCTTGTTTTGGTTGTAAATATGATGTAAATTGTTCTGTATTATTATTATTATTATTTAATAAATTATCTTGACTATATGATAAACGTGTTGTATGTTTTAATGATGATATTGATGATTTTGTTTGAAATAAATTTTCATTTGATGATAAACGTGATGGTGGTGGTTTTGATAATGAATAACGATTAAATGTTGAATTATTATTTAATAATAATGATTCATTTGCTTTATCAAGTAAACGTTGTTTCATTGAATTAACAACACCAAATGGTACATGATCATTCTCCATATTTCCATTATTATTTTCATTTAATTTTGATGTTAAACGATTTATAGATGATATTGATTTTGTTGTTGGAGAAAGATTTCCATTAATATGATGATGATGAGGAGGAGGAGGAGGAAAATAAGAAGGATGAGTATTGGTTGTTGATGATGATGATGATAAAAGGACGGACATAATTGACAAAATACACAAAGAAATAAATTACATTATCTGAAGAAAACGAAAATGATTTAGTTAATATTTATTATATAATTCAGTATTCAAAAAAAAACAACATAGTTGCATTTACGCTTTTATGACAATACTCAATAGCTTCGATATTGAAAAAAAAAAACAACTAAAAGTGAATAAATAAAGAAAAAGAGAAACAAAAAAATAAGCGATTTCTTTTTTTTTTCTTTTCTTTTATTACTTTTTTTTTCTTACCTTAATAAATGCACTCTAAATAATCCAAACGATTATTATTATCAATCATACTATTTAATGTATCCGGACAAACAATATGAAATTTATTAAATATACACATATTCTCTTCTAATATATACATTATATCATTTATTTCAAATTTGATTATAACATTTTATTCTTTTTTTTTGTTTCCCTACGGATATTTATATATAATGTAACATTCAAATATTTTACGTACCCGAAAGAAAAAAAAACAATGTCATCAAAGTAAAAGTACAACATGACATTATTTTGAAACAAAAATTTATTTCCGCTTAATAATCAATAGTAAAGTAAAGAAAAACAATTAAATAATGGTCATGTCACTAGCCTCAATCAATATATATATATATAAATGGGTCAAATGACATGCATGCATGTATTCGCCCTATTTGTCTATGTATATCTTTATGCCTTTCGCTTTTCTTTTTTAGTAGTATTAGACTGTCGTCAAACAACCATATAAATCTTAATAAGATGTCTCGATTTTTTCTTTTTCTTTCTCTCGTTTGTCAATGCAAACGATAAGATGACTTACTCCTCTCCCAATTACATCTACGTTCTTATTTAATATCATACGTATATAAACATTGTAAGAAATGTTTTTTTATAAAAAAAAAACAAATTAATGATCATTAATAGTTGAGTTTTTTTTTTTGCTTTAGAAATATTTTCTTACTCTGCTACTATACTTTAAATTGAAGGTTTTCATACTTATTCGATTTGAAAGAGTGAAAATCATTATTATAAATGAATTTCTTCTATTGTGAATGATTCTTGTGTTTTGATTTGAAAGAAATTTTTTCAAAGAACTGCTATGGTCTTTTATAGTGTGCAACATATTTTCATACGATTGAAGGTTATTTACAGATTTTATAAGTAGGTTATTATGTATGGGATTCACTATGATTTAACCTCAATGGAATCATGTATAAGTCTGATGTTTATATGATTTAGTTGTGCATTACAGATTTATTCTTTTTATCACAACTCAAAAATCGGAATAAATAAATCAAATCTATGAGTTTAATTTCAAAAAAAAAACAAAGAAAAGGAAGTGTAATGATGAATAATTCATGATGTATTTTTGTTTTTGAGAATCAACCAATCATCTAAATGGTAATGAGTTTTAGAAGAAAAAAAAACAAATTAATTATTCCATTGATTTATAAAATTCATCTTTTATAATATCGTTTGAAAAATTCTATTAAATCGATTAAAGAAAAAGAGAATTAGCGTTAAGAAGTGAGAATAGAAGATTTTAACTCACGCTATTTCATTTATATGATTTCTTGTTTGGAGAAAAAAGACAAATTTCTATTCTTATAGCAAATAGAGTTCAACATCGGAACCATTGCCACTAAAAGAATTTTTTTTTGAAGTCAATGTCGCAAATATATTAGTGAAAAACAAATTTAAGTATTTTCATACTTACATAGTCACAAGTTTATTCTTCATATGTTAAATAATAAACAAACATACAATTACTCTATAGGTTTCTTCATAAGTTTCAAGGAAACAAAACATCAGAGAAACATTCTCATCAACAAATAGTACAAAAAAGAAGTATTTATGTTAGTCGAAAGAAAAAGGTTTCGGAATCAAGACGGTTGACTCCACAAAACTCTAATGGCAAGTATTTTTCTAATTCCAATTGTTCTCTAGAATATATTAGAATTAACTGAAATTCTGACGATAGAATTTCAATAAAGAATTCAAATCTTAAATTATTTGTCATCGACAAACATAATGAAAATATAACAAAATTCACAAAATGATAAGACTGTATTTAATTTTTCCACTGTTACCTTGTGATGGAAGAATAAATTATTTTTATATTGACATATGTTTTTTTAAGGCTAGGAAAAGCTAGACATTTCTATTATGTGTAATGTTTACAACAGATTTCCTAATGGATCTCATTACCGTATGACGATAATTACTGTAAAATAACTGATATCATTTAGAAAATATGATTTTATATTAACAAAAAAAAAATAATGGAGTATACTTTTAATATACGAACTATCGTATGTATACAAATTATAAATTAATTTATATGTTTTATCGATATTTGCACAATTTTATTAAATGTAATAATAATATGTCAAAAAGAATTATTCTATTACATACCAATAAATATATATATATATATATATTTCATTATGTATTGATACAATACAGAAACCAGTATCATCGTTTTCGAAATATCTTATTTAATAATTTTTTTTTTTTATTTTGAAAAATAAGTCATCTATGAAAGATTTATTTTATATTTTAATCAATATTCACTATATTTAAAAATAAATCTAAAATGAAATTGATAGTAATAATGAAAAATATCAAAAAAAAAAGACAAACTACTCTCGATTAATAAATCATTTTGACATATTTTCTTACTTGAAGAATAATTAGTTTGATAAAATTCAAATAAATATACTCTTTATTTAACACGCTATATTTTAATGAAGAATAAATCAACACGAAAAGCTTTCTTTTTTCTTTTTTTTTGAATAGAATTGTTATTTATATTTATAAACAATTATCAATTATGAGAAAGATAATTCCATTATTGTTATTATTCTATGGGATAATTTAAAAAAGAAAATAGAAATTCATTGTGTATATAATTAAATCTTTGAATTTGTAATTATTGAATTTCTAACTAGAATTGATATAATGAACTATACTATAAAATTTCATTCTCATAATAAAACAAATATAAGTGAAACAAAAAAAAGAGGCTCGTTTATTATATGAATAGAACAATAAAATAAATAATCTAGAAGTTCTGACGAAAATAATTTAGCCAGACACAAGAAAAAAGAAAGAATTTAGGCATATATATGTATACAAAGAAAAATAATATACGTTAATCTATTGCGTTGTCATCATTGAATGGTGCTTTTATATGCGGAAAAAAATCATTGTTTAATATAGTTAGTTGAATTTACAAAAAAAAAAGAAAAAAAGAAAAGAAGAGTTATTAACAATTCTATGTCCTTTATTAGAAAATGTCTTTGTTTAGTTAATTTTATTTATTATTTTCACCTCCACTTGTTAAACGTTTTCGACCTTTTTGTGGAATATTTGATGTTATATCATGATTAAGAACTTTTTTTCCTTCTAATTGTTTAAGAAGACTTTGTAATTGTTCATATGCATTTGGAACATCTAATTGTATATCTTCAATATCGTCAAATAAACGTAATATGCCAGTTTTTAATTGATCATATGTAATAACAGTAGTTGTTGTTAATGTTTCAAGTAAAGATATTGTTAATTGTTCAGCACTGAAAAATAGAATATTAAAATTAAATATAAATATTTATTAGTAATTTAATTTTTAATAAGATAAATTTAATCGATAGACTCATTTCGTAGTAATATTTCAGATTAGACAAATTATTGTCTTTAATTAAAAAGTCCATGTTATAATAATTCTTTAAAATTTTTCTGCTCCGAAGTTTTTTTTTTACAATCTCTAATATTTATGTATATAATTTAAATCTATTTGAAATCGATAAAATTCTATATGAATAAATTAACTAACCGTTCAGTATTTTTTTCTAAACAAAAATCTATAAGCTCATAAACAAATTCATGAAAAAAATGTGGTACATTTAATTCTTTTAAACATCGAATTGTTTCATTTGCATCACCACTATCATAATATTCATGAATAATTAAATTCATTTTATCAGCTAGTTCTCTTACAGGTCTAAAACCACCTAAAAAAAATATAAAATATTTATTAATTTTAATATTCGTTCTTTTTTCTTTTTGTTTGAACATACTTGATTGAGCTCCCCAAACATTATTAAGAAAATAAAAATCTTTCATTAATATAAGTGTTTCAGCTTTATCAAGAGCGATTTGCATTTTTGGACATTTAACATTGCCTTTATAACGACCAAAATATTTGTCATTTGTATTATCAATACATTTATCGGCAATTGATCGTGCAATGAATTTACCTTTATTGACAAAAAAACAAAAAATAGAAATAAACAAAAGCATGCTAAATATTTAAAATAAAATAAAGAATTTTTGTTTTTTTACCAATATCAGTTGAACATTCGGGATTATCAAGTGATAAATCACTTAATGTTGTGAATATAGTATCAAAACCGTTAATGTAATCATTCGCACGGAAAACAATACCATTAAGATCATGTAAAAGACGTGATATTAATTCTTTATGAACACTTGATTTTTCTAATGCTATTGTTATTATGTAAGCAAGTAATTCTCCATCTCCATGTTGTTTTAAATTAAATTTACGTAATGATTGTGCTACATCATTAGCATCACCATTAACAAAATATTCATCAATTATTGGTTTAATATCTTTATCAAAATTTTCAATTGTTTGTAATTGATTTCGTTTTTTATCTTTTGATGTTGTTGATGATTCAGCAATATATTTCTCTTTAGCTTGATTATATTGTAAATCTAATATATCATCTTCATCAAAATCTTCATGATATTCATCAAGTATTTCAGAACCTAATGTACCCCATGTGAAATGTCCACCGGCACCACCTTTTTTTGCTAAACCACGACCTTTGCCTATTTAAGAAAGACAAAAAAAAAACGAAATAAAATTCTTTAAATGACAGTTTTTATTTTTATTTTCAACAAACAAACCTTGTCGTGATTTACGATCATTTTTCTTTGAAATTTTAGCATTTTTTTGTAATAAACGTTTTTGCGTATCTGTTGGT